TATTGAGAATTGAGATATTTGAAAATTTGGGAATATAGAAATTTCAGAGTTTGAGAATTTGAATATTTTAAAAATTGGAGAATTTGAAAATTTGGGTATTTTGAAATTGGGGAATTAAAAAATTTGAAAATTCAAACTTCGTAAAGAAACGTTTCACACCGCTACCATCTCTAGCGTACATCTCCTAGAAAAGCACGTTTCCCCCCATCTCCATCCTACACTGAATTATTTATACCCTGGTCCATATTTTCGTGGTTCGACGGGGGTGTCCATAAACTGTGGCGGAACGTCAACGTCCATCTTGACTCTCCCCGGGTGATATAATAGCCGCGAACGGCGGAACGCACGGGTCCTTATTGTTCGATAGATTTATTGAACTTACCTGATATGAGCACCAACACAATCCACATGATCCCCACCAGGCTCTTCATCATGTCATTGTGTCACGTCCAACTCATTTCTTCTCGCCTTCGTGCTCTCCGGACCCTTCAGTTCTAGCACTGAAACACAGAAAACGTTTCCTCGATTAACTACCACCGATAAGCCTCTACTAACTACTTACAATTAAACACATTTCCCACCGATGATCTATCTATCCATTCGCCATTCTCGTCTCACACAGACAAAAATTAACATCGAAGATTTGTTCACACTTCCAAAAAAAGAAGAAAATGTCGCAAATCGTATCTCTCCCAAAATTATACTTTTTGATTAATCGTTTCGAAAGCGAAAAAAAAAAAGGAATTCCAGAGAGAAATGATACAGAGTCAGGATGAAAATTCGAAGACACACGATGCTTTAAAACCGCTACAACAGAAGGATGATTTATGAAGCGAACGATTACACTTTCCAGCGAAACACCGCCACCATTTTTGCACCTATGATCCCGTTCACGCTAGATACGTATCAGTGATTAATTAACCTCTGGTGGACATTGGTATGCTTCTCGCTCGAGCAGATAAGCGATTCAATTTTCTTTCTCGTCGGATTAATTTTATCGACTCAGCAAGCACGGAACCCCCTTTTTTCCGTTCAGAGAAAAAAAAGAACACACGCGTTATCTAGATCCTGAGGCCTCTAAAATTTTTTAGTAACTTAGTACTTTAGTACTTTAACCCTTTGCACTCTTTGTGGCGACTAAGCGACGTTATATTTACCATTAGAGGGAACTCTAACGATGATATTTTCCAAGACAGCATGTTTCACATGTTTAGAGATCTCAACAGTGAAATAGTTTGAAAGAACCAACTTCTAATTTCTGCTACTTCGAGCGCAAAGCGTTAATCTACGTTCTCAGACCTCTTTACGCCTAGCACTAACGATCTTTGCTGAGACAAGAGTGCTCTGTTATTTATGTAAAAGAAAGTAGATTGTAAAATTGACAGTAATCGTTCCTCTATTTTATCTTAACAAGATAAGCACAGTTCAGCGTGTATTTTCAAGGAGTTGCTTCGCTTTCCATCCCCTCCAATTTTCTTCCCAGGTGGATTTATGCGAGTCATAAGGCTCGCGATTACGTGATTTCGGATCCCCGGGGCTGAAATTTTCGCCCGGTGAATTCTCGTAAATCTGTGTTAGTTAGCCGAGGTGGAACAAGACGTACGTATCTCTTGAAATATCGTCGAATCTGCAACTCGTGTACATAAAGCAGTACATACACGTATAGGCGTTCTCCGGTGAAACTTTAAGCGTAACTCGAAACTCGAGGCTCCCTCCTCTCTTTCGCTCGTTGGATTTTTGCGATCGAACAACGGTGTACACATGGTACAGAAGAGCGTAGGCGGAGGAAGAATGCAAAAGTAATGTATCCGTTGGAGGGTGGAAGGTTGGGAGCGCAGGTGACGCTTGAGCTACGTGTCTATATTGCCGCGATAGCGACAAGTTGATCGTAAAATGAAAAATGAAAGATGGAT